TGAGGAGAGGAGAGTAGCGAGAGAAGAGAGAGAGAGAGAGGAGAGAGAGAGAGATAATATATATATATATATATAGTATTATATATATTATATAAATATATTATATATATAATATATATATATATTACATTTGTCGTCCCATATGTTGAAGAGAACTGGTGGAAGACGGAAGCTACCCTAACCCCAGTTCCAACTCCGGGCAACATCTAATAAACCTTACCATACGTAAACAAACCCCCTACCGCCAAACCTCCTACTCATAGCATTTGGATAAAATGTTAAGCGCTCAAAGCTGCCACGACTATAGATGCATTTTTCGTCCCATATACTGGCAGGATTGGCGGGGGAGGGGGACGGGTAGCTTCCCCTTTCCCGACTCTGAGCAACATTTAATAAACTTTACCATGTGTTAACAAACCCGCCACCACCAAACCACCTAGCTACCAAAAAACACCAAACAGCAACACCTCCAACTAAACCAACCCTATGCCGGTCCACTGAAGGGAACAGTGTTGAAAGAAACACGGTAAAATCCCCCCCTGCATCTTCACAGTAGTTTCACTACTGAGGTGCCGGGAAATGTGCAAAAGCGCGTCGGCACATGGTCCTAGATTCCGTATGGCAAAGGCAAGTGTGAGACCACTATGAACTTCGACGAAGACGTGCTTCTGATTGATGAAACTATGAAGTCAGGAGTCCTCCATAAATTGCACTGCGCATGGACGGGTAGAGGGCAGGTGCGGAGGGGGGGGGGGGTTGATGGTGCGTAACGGAAGCGTCATCAAGGGGAGGGGAGGTTTAGGGGGAGGGGTAACGTTTACGTTACCAAGGGAGGGGAGGGGTAACGTTTACGCTCTGGTGTAAAAAAGCGAGTGCTAAAATATATTAGAGCATTCTAAAACCTTAAAGCAGGATGCCTTTGGCTTTCGCTCAAAGCACGAACAACTCCGTGAGCTGTTTCGCATCGCTAGCACAATCAGAGGTCAAAGGACATAACTTTTTGGGGACATTTCACTCAACACAGCGTAACCATGGGGAGGGGTCACACGGCGTAAACAGGGCGTAACCAGCGGGAGAGAAGGTTGAAAATGGCAAAAAGGTGCAACGTAATTGATAGACGGCCCCTCGGCCCTCAGCCGAAAGTTGTACTGTCTAACCTGAGACGCCTGGAAGTTTTATGAGATTGGGCGCCAGCCGTGTCTGCGCACCGTCTCACGCGGGATTAGCCTGGCAGATAAGCCGCCATCACGTCGTGAGAATGCCCTCACCACCACCCAAACTGATCCGCCCGGACGCCCAACACATGACTTGGGAGCCTGGCATGACACCCAGCTCGGTTGCACCTCGCTCACAGGTAGTAGCGTAGTCAGAGGGGAGTGGGGGCATTCCCCGCCCTGGAGATGGCGAGGGAGGGGCCCCCTGGAACCGAATGCCTCAGTGCTTATTAGCGGTGTAAGACGTCCGTAAGGCGCTTTAAACGAAACATGGGCCATCGAAGCATCGACATGGATCTTGAGCCAGAAACATCCCCCGAATCCAAAAACAGGGCCCCGACATGGCGAAGCAGGGATCCCTTGGCTGAGAGATTCCTATGAGTTCGGGTTTGGCTCCCTCCTGGGCGAAATCCTGGCTGCGCCCCTACTTACACTGTACCGACCCCGGCCTCACTTCGGCCGCCGGCCCCGTCACCCACACGTCGGTGCTGGATAATGGCCGGGGCCGTTATTCGCTGGTGACTCTCGTGCGCAGGGCACCGACTTCCGAGTGAGCCTGGGCACTCGCCCTGATCATTCCCGGCACTCGCCTGGGCAGATCATTCCCGTGGCGTTGAATTGCATGGCAACCAGCCGATAGTTAATCCTTTATCCACTCCGTCACCTAATTACTTTCTTTCCACTGCCTGAACGGAGCTGAGCTTAAGGAACAATGACTTATGAATTATACATATAGAGGTGCATCATTTCGCTCTGGCTCAGGTGGCATGTAATTTGTGGCAGGCTTCACTATGTACACTGTTATAGTTCCACCAACTTTGGCTTCACTACAGAGCCTGGTAAGGAAATAAGTGAACTTCTCAACATGTGCAGCTACATTTCAATGTATATAGCACTGAAATGTAGCATCACTACAGGCCAGTGTTGCAGTGAGGTCGCTTAAAGGAATATTCCACATTTGAAGATATTGAAGCAAGCATCAGATGTGATGAAACAAACTCACTTATACCTATTTGGTATTTAAGTGCAAAAGACCGCTTTAGACAATACAACTTCTCTGTCCAGCAAATATGCTCCACCACACGTCATTATTTGATTACGTCATCGTATCTCATACAACATTCACTGAGAGCCAACTGAAATGGCCCTCAGGCCGGCCATTTCAGCATAAGACGCATTATGCACGCGGACCACACGCTCACAGAATAATGAGCCGTTGAATCTTGACATTGCACATAAGCACTCCTACTGCAGAAGTGGCATCCTAATCGTAGCTGATCTACCAGAAAAGATCCATGGCGGTTACCAGGAATGCATTGCAATTATACGCTTTATACGTTACCTACGCCAATATGTCGGCATAATCTAAGCATGCATGCGAGGTTGCTGGGAGCCAATCTGCTTTTATGCAATTTTGCATCGAAATAACGCAACCAGACCAAAATGCCCAGACGAAGCGGGGCATTTCCGGACGACGCCCAACTCTGTGGTCGTTACGCCTTGTATCAACAAACTCACGCAAACGAAACCGCCTAAATCTGTTTACCAAAAATACGAGGCCATCTAACGACTGAAACCAGCCGGAAACAATATTTGTCTTGACGAGTCATATACGTAAACACGTGTGAGCGTTAGGGGATCGATACCACGTCGCTACTACCTGCTCCGATGGACCTGGTATGTCTTGATGGGAGTTAGTTACCACCCCACAGTAGGTGGGGCACATGTGACAGACTCGCAGACGGCTGTCGCGGTCGGTCGCAGCGATGTACGAACGTCCCTAAAGGAGGAAGAACCAAAAGCCTTCCTGGCGTTAATTATTTCGACGCACCACCATACGGCTTATGTTAAATGTACGGAACATGGGTCCACCAGCCCTGTCCCCAGCCTGCCGCGCCAGCAGACGGCTAGCCCTGACAGCGTCGGCAGAAGGCTCCGCGTGAGCACCGCGTAGCTGTAGGTATGTGCCCTATGTTGGCAATTAAGCGACTAGCTTGACAATAAAACCAGCATTGTTGCTCTTCCCAGTCACTACCACAGTTCCAGGGGTGGTGACGTGTTTTCCTGCTACCATTATTCCGCTTATAACCTCGGCTCTTTTCGATATAACTGCGGGCCTACAAAACAGCTGCTGCACCTTCAACAGCAAGGTCTCCTCCCATGATATTACTTCCCTCCGGCACTTAGCGATCTCCACGCCTTATTCTCGGCTTTGGTCTTTCCGGATCCAGATGTAGTCTCTTCGGATCCGGATATGGTCTCTCCAGATCCGCATACATTCTCTCCAGATCAGAATGTGGTCTCTCCGGATC